CTGCTTCCACTCATGGCAGAAAGCAGCAGGCAGCCGGCGGGTACAAGCAGATCGCATGGTGAGAGGAAGCAAGAGAGAGAGAGAGAGGAGGTGCCAGGGTCTTTTAAACAATGAGCTTTTGCGGGAACTAATAGAGTGAGAACTCACTCAGGTCCCCCTCCCACAGGGAGCGTATTAATCAATTCACGAGGGATCTGCCCCATGACTCAAACAGCTCCCAACACTGCCACATTGAGGATCAGATTTCTGCATGAGTTTTGGCAGTGACAACACGTCCAAACTCTATCACCCTCCCAGTAGAACAAAAAGGCAGAAGAGGGGCAAATTCCCCCCTGTTCTTGAGCTGGGACGTCCACCTTCGCCTGGACATTGGAGCTCCTGGCTGTGGGGTATTTGGACTGCAGGACTCATATCAGTGCAAGCCCCAACCCCCTGCCCCAGTTCTTAGGCCTTCGGCTTCACAGCTGGAGTTACACCATGGGCTCCCCCGGTTCTCAGACCTTCAGACTTGGACCACTGGCTTTCCTCAGGCTGCAGCTTGCAGACAGCAGATTGTATGACTTCTCAACCTCCATAATCATGTGAGCCAAATCGCATAATAAATCTCCTTTTATATATATCTCTATATATCCTATTTGCCCCATTTCTTTGGAGAACCCTAATATCCTAACCTAACATAACACAGAAAAAAAGAATTATTTCAAATAACTTCTGAACACAACACCCTGTATTTCTCTAGTGGGATATGTTCTAAGGAAAAAAAAAAAAAATAGAAAGGGATCTTGAAATTTTCTTAGTAGGTCTGTGGTTAGTAGTGGGATTGCTGTAGTAACTCTGAAACTATTTGGAGGGTATTTTAGAACACAGCAAGTGAATAAATATATTGATTTACTGAAAACAAGGGTTCTCAATGTGAAGAAATTAGATATTAAATTGAACCATATAGATTTGCCATTTTTTGTAGATCAAACATGATCGACTATTGGCCATTTCATATGATTCAACCAAATACAAATATGGAATGAGGGAGAAGGTTGAGGTGTGGCGTGGAATTAGAAATAGAGTTGTCCCTCGGTATCTGTCAGCTGCACAACTGTGGATCCAACTAACCTTGGATCGAAAACATTTTAAAAATTAAAAATAATACAAATAAAAAATACAGCATAACAACAACTTACATTGCATTTACACTGTATTAGGTATTATAAGTAATCTAGAGATGACTTAAAGTATATGGGAGAACATGCAAATACTCTGCCATTTTATATGTGACTTGAGCATCCTCCGAGTTTGGTATCTGAGGGGGATCCTGGATCCAATCCCTGTGGATACTGAGGGACAACTGTATTCAGATGGCTTCAACACTAGCTCTGTCCCTTGAGAGGACCCAGAAGGCAGTGACACCCCAGTTGCAATGGGCACACTCAGCACCCAGTACTTGGTTTCTAAATCCCATTCCCCTCTAGATGGCACTAGGGCTTCCTTGAGAAATGGCTGATATTAGGGCTAGGGCAGGGAGAAAGTGCTCAAAGAATAATGGAAAGGTCAAAAGGACACAAGAAAGATGTCACTGGGACAATTAACTGTGGGTTATCTCAGAGCATGGTATCTATGTGAGACTTCTCAATTTTGCATAACAGTATGGTGTTCTATAAGAGAACGGCCCCATTTTTAGGAAATACATGCTGAAGTATTTAGTGGCATGGGGCACAATGTCTCCAATGTACTCTCAAATGTTTCAGAAAATTTATATATGTATGTATGTATATATAGAGGGAGAGAATATGGTAAAGCAAATTGGGCAACATGTAAACAATGGATTAATCTGCCTAAAAGATATCCAGGAGCTCCTTGTCTTGTTCTTGCAACTTTCTTCTAAGTTTAAAATAATATAAAAGGGCTGGCCCGTGGCTCACTCGGGAGAGTGCGGTACTGATAGCACCAAGGCCATGGGTTCAGATCCTGGGGGATGGCCAGTGCGCTCACTGGTTGAGCGTGGTGCTGACAACACCAAGCCAGGGGTTAGGATCCCCTTACCGGTCATCTTTTAAAAAGATAAATAAGTAAAATAAATAAATAAAATAATAAAAAAATAAAAAGTCCCCCCCCCCCCCCCAATAAAAAGCCTAGGAGCCAGCTTGAAGGAGCTCTCACTGGCCAAATGGGGACCACTTTGAGCATCAAAAAGAGTAATGATTAAATGAAAAAAAAAATACATGAATTCCTATTAGTATTTAAGAAAATTTTCAAATGAAGGGGAAGCTTTTCTTGACCAAAAAATGTCTATTAAATGTAGAAGGAATGATAAACTTGGAAAGTCATGATTTTGCAACCATAAGTGTAATAATGAATCCATTCATCAATTGATGCTAAAACCGTTGAGTACATGGTTATTGGAAAAACATGACATTTGTGGTCTCAAAGACTTACCCCACCCATGGCTTATTTACTCAACAAGGAGCAAGGGACCTTGACCGTGGAGGAATCTGGCAGACCCCAACTTTACCAAGTGGTCAAATTTCACGTCCTCACAAATGGGGCAAACTGATATCCTGGGTCTCCTCATGCCCTATCTCCTAAGCCGCCTTGCTGCCCCCAAGGTTTAGCCCAAGGATCCAGAAATCAGGCCCAGACTCTACAAAAATGCCAGTGTCTTGAAAAATAAAAGCAAGTCTGTCAACGGTGAGTGGGTGACATGTTTGTCAGCATATGTGGGTATGTGTGCACAGACGTGCCACCTATACAAAGGTGTGACAGCGCCATGCAGAGGAGGTGGCGACTGCACACAGCCCCGCTTCCACGGGGGTCTGCTGTGCATCTGAGCCTCAAGGGAAGCCCACGGAGCTGGTCAAGCAGATGGACACGTGGAAGCTCCAGGCAAGGCTGAGCTGAGGAGAGCAGAGCCCAGAAGGGAATCTGGAATGTAGCCAAGTCCAGGGCATGGTGACCCACGCGTGTAAGTGCTGGCCAGGAGCAGCCCAGGACATTCAGGGCTGCAGTCAGCGAGGCCAGCTCCTTCCAGGAGATCGAGGCTGGAGGCCTTCGGTCCTGGTGGCTGTGAGGCCAGGTGCTGTCCCTGCAGTGGCGGTGGGAGCTGTGGTGGGTTTCTGCGGATTCCACGCACGCGCCTGCTGGGCATGGGCTTGGCCGCGGAAGTCCTCGTGGGCCCGGGGAGCCCCAGGTTCAGCGGGATCTTCACAACAGCCGCAAGGGCCGCGAGCACTTCACGCCCGCGTGATGGACGAGGAGGTGAGCTCGAGAAGCAGGGCTGGGGTCTCAGTGGTGAGGGGACCAGTGAGGGGGAGCTGCCCCATCCCGTAAAGGTCAGGGGGCGGGCGGTGCCACAGGGACGATGCGCAGGGACGAGGCCCAGGTGTTGGAGCGCAGGAAGCCCGGAGGACCGAGGGGTGAGCAAGGCACCGAGGGCGGGCGGGGGAGTGGGGCGCGGGGGG